GATCGTTGGTTCCTGTTTTGATCATTTTGTTCGTGTTTCAAATTTCATTCATTTGCACTAATATAAAAGAGTAAGTATCGTTAGATTGTTTGAGTGAGAAATCGATACTCGAGAAACACAATCTTAAGACAAAATTTACATTGATTTTTCTGGTTTAATTTTTCTCCTTCTTTCAGTTTATCTTATGTTTTGTATCAGGAATGGCAAAGGAACTTTGCATTTTTTGCATGAATGAATTAATTTCAGAAATTCATATTCATATATTGCACAATTTATTAAAATATATAAGATTATATTAAAATGATTAGGGCATTACATATTTTGCTTACGTGCCGTTTCTAAAATAAAAGTTCATGAACCCTTATAAAACGGTAATATTCATGTCTTTTTACAAGTTTATTTTATTTGATGTCCATTGAAAGATTGCAATTGTTAGCTGCACGGCTTTCATAATAAAATTCAACTTGCGTCAATTGAACGTGCAGAAGAGAGAAGAAATGCATATATGCATTATGTACGGAAATTGTTGAATTTCTAATTATTTTGGTTTCTTGTAAGAATCGATGCCAATATATTATCAGGGACTTTTTGATAGGGTTGTCATTAATACATGGAGGAAACTAGAATTTCATTATTGTCCTATTATGTGCTTGTTTGGTGGGGATTTTTGGGGGAGGAAGTGATTTTTGAATAGTGATGTGATGGGAAATGTGTGGTTGAAAAAGAAGAAAAAATTATTGATGTGATGGAAAATATTATTTTATTAAAGAATGTGTGGTTGAAAATGAAATTGATTTACTGTAGAATTTGAGAATAAAAAACAAACAGGCCCATAGGGATATGTTCATGGTCACGATCACGATCACTTACATATACTGAAATTAATTGAATTTTGTGCACAGCATGATAAAATTGCGTTTCTAAAACAATCACTTATTTCTTGAATTGTCATCCCGCTCAGAGGATAAAACAAAATGGACAATGGTCTACATGAAAGACAACCTCAATTAATTCTGATTAAATTATTTGAGATGATTTTTGTGCAAAGTAGAAA